TAAGGCTCATATAAACCATATTACAAAGGTTGAGTTTTTTATAGCTTTCCACACAGCTTATAACCAGTCAATAACAACTCAAAACGCCAAAGCTGGATTTCGCGGAGCTGGTTTAGTGCCCTTTGATCCGCAAGTAATCATTTCAAAGCTAGACGTCAAGTTGCGGACTCCTACACCTACAGGACCCCCCTCTATAGACGCTGATCCTTGGGTTTCTCAAACGCCTCGCAACCCAATAGATGCTCTCTCACAGACTACTCTAGTTAAAAATCGCATTGCACGGCACCAAGGAAGCTCGCCAACCCCCATTTTTGCTACTGTTACTGCATTAGCTAAAGGGACAGAGATTTTGGCACATGAAATGACTTTATTGTCAGCTGAAGTCCGCACCCTTCGAGCAGCAAACGAAGCTCTTAGCAAACGCTGGAGGGCTAAAAAGTCTCGTGTCCGTCAAGGGTGTGCACTTTCTGTAGGGGATGCACATGATGATTTGTCCCAAAGGGCAGTTACGGAGCAAATAAATCGCGAGAAGCGCTCTGGAGGGGTTGGTAGGAATGAGGGGCAACCAGGTGTACGACATTGTGGCACTTGCGGGGGGGCTGGCCATAATGCACGAACTTGTCAGGAGGTCATAGAAGTACTTAGCTCATCAGATTCTGAATAGTTTTAGTTTTAATACATGTTGTGGTTGTTTAATTATACCTTACAGTGGTGGGTATAAAAAAGTTTCACGACTCGGTGACATTCACGACTCGGTGTACAACCACGTTAACAATAAATTATATTAATTAACCTTAAGAATAAGTATATAGTAGTAATAGGTATACATAAACCAATTGTACTCTCTAGAAAATAAATATCTACTCCTAATACTTCATGTACCATCCCTTTGCCTCGATGCATGCCTTGATCTGGTCTGGCATTAACCTAATGAGCGACTCAAAAAGGGAGTTGGGCAATTCATCCCAACACACTTTAAGTGCCTCCTCGAGTTCCGTACGTATCTCATCTGTATTCATACGGCTTGTCATAAGATGTAGGTACTTCTCTGCCATAAGCTCTTTTAATGCTTTCTATGCATGTTCAATCGGGTTGAGATTAGGTGAGTATGGCGGCCAATCAGTTGTTAAAATGTCGTAATTCTCAAACCATTTAACAACTTTTCCTGTAGTATAGATTCTTGCATTATCTTGTATGAAAATAAGTCCTTCCTCGTAGTAAACCTGTAAACGTACATCAAGACTTCAAGATATGAGTTTGTAGAGTATCCATGCTTCATAGACTCAAAGTCTCGGTCAACCACTTTTTATCACCCCAAAATGCAGCCCGTACTATGATTCTAATATCTTTACTAGATCTGTAAGTTTCAACAAGTTCTGGCTTCCACTTGTCTTGTGGTAAGCCAAAACACCACACTTGCTTTCAGTGTTGCCAGTAGTGTGATATTGCAATATATTGCAAATAAAATCTACTATTGCACTGCAACAATATTTGAATTCCGACTATTGCACTGCAACAATATATTGCAATATTAGTATTGCAATATTGAAGCTATTGCAATATACTGATAGTATTAGATGGGCTTTACTATCACTATCTAGCTGTCGCCTACCAACTATCCAACCATGCTGTGGAATGACCTCCCAACCACGACTTTAATGACTCTAAGGCTTCTAATGTCTCCGCTTTCATCTGGTTTCTCTTATCTGTCATTGTAGCCTTTGCACTCGAGAATAGGCGCTCTGGTTCAGCCTCCATTGCTGGTATTGATAGAATATCTAATGCCATAACTGCGAGTGCAGGGTAGGTTGTCTTTTGCTCTAACCACCATGCTCTTGGGTCTACAATAGGTGTGCAGGCAGCGTCACAATATCGTATGTATTTGTCTATAGTAGGTGCTTGTTGTTGCTTCTGTTCTCTCCACTTCTGAAGGCCCGTCTTGGGTTTTGTGGCTTGTTCAATGGTAGTAAGAACTGGAAGCTCTGCCGCTTTGTATTGGCTCTTCCAAAGATCTTGCACTGCCTCTTTTGCTGCTATAACCCATTCAAGTGGCCAATGGGCATCAAAATAGGTCCACTTCTGTGATGGTATTAATACCATTGCAGCGGTATATACAGCTGACCTCTCTGTCAGGGTATAATATTGATTCAATTTGGCCCAACCCAAGTTTATCATTGGCGCCATAAATGCATCATCAATGTACTTGATTTTCTGCTGCTCAAGGTGATCTAAGAGGTAATCCATTGTAGGCAAGACTCTTTTAAGTGTAGCCTGTTGCCCTTCTGTTGCAAGGGTTGCCTCTTGAAAAGCCTGTAGGACCTCGTGGATATGCTCAAGCTTGGTCCACTCTTCAGGTGCTAGCATATCCAACTGAATGTCAGCTTTGTATTGAAAGCAATAAAGGTCAATTGCAATCCTGATATCAGCCTGGATCGCGCGATCGATCATTGGAAACCAAGAGTTCCAGCGTGTCTGTTGATCTCTAATAAGACGCCTGCCATGGCTTAACTGTAAAAAGGTCTCTTCTCTCTGGGGACTACGTTGAATGAATACAACGATATTATGAAGCTTGCCAAGAGGACCCTTTTGACGCCACAGATCCATTTCTAACTCGGTAGGAGTAGTGTATATACCAGGGTTGCTTTCAGAAGAGAATGCCTCGTTATCATATCCAAAGAGGAAAGCCTGGGCAACAAGATTGATAATATGGCCATTGCAACGAAGCCGATGATGTATAGCGTTATATTCAATGTTATACTCATTAAGTAGCAGGGCCGAAAGAGTTGCAATCATAGTATCATTATTAGTTGCGTTATCCATCATGAAGTAGCTTAGTTTTGAAGCAATTCCAAACTCTGCAATTACCTTCACAATTATGAGGGCTTGATTCTCTCCTGTATGCCTTCCGTGGATCTCTCGTAAGCCAAGCACTGATTGACAAAGATCTCCGTTCTCTGCAATATAGTGGCCAATAATGCCAACTAGAGGAAGCTTGTTCGGAGAAGTCCAAAGATCCACGGTAAAGTGAATCTTTGAAAGTGCTGACTGTACACGTGCTATCACTTGGTTTCGTTCGTTGTCGTAGCATCTCATTGTCCATTTATGTATTGTACTGTGACTTGTTGGAAGCCAGTTATTGACCTCTGGATTAAGGTATGCAAGGAGGTTTCTGAATTCGGAGATTTCGACTATATTGAACGAGACCGAACAACGTGATATCCATTGAATAAAGAGCTGCTCAAGAGTTGATGGGTTGATTGTGGTTGATTGAACTGAGTCAAGACGACGTCGTTTGTATTGCGTTTCAAGGCCTCGTGCCATCGCAGTAGATATACTTAATTGCTGAAGGGTGTTTTGTTGCTCCCGGCTATCAACAATCTCATGTACAGTCTGTAGATGAACTGCAATAAATGCTGTACCACCAGACTCTCTGTACTCCTTTGGACAATACTTGCAACGCCAGTATATAGCCTCAGAGCCTTCCTGTTGATATATTGTGTCAATTGGACCCGGCATATGCTTCCATACAAAGGATGTCCGCGCCCGACGCTTTTCTGTTGGTTTTCGTCTATATCGTTTGGTAGAAGAGGAGGATATGACGGGATCGAACGATTCGAGGTCTGGAGTATCGTGGCTAGAAAGAACACTTGATTCAGGGGGTGGCGATGATGCGCCTGAAGGGTCCATTTTGTCTTGATACAATAGTATTTACATTAAAGGCTTCAATTTCTACAGGACAAGAGATCGGTGAAAACTCTATCTCATACCCTGTTAATATTGCAATATCCTAGTCATATATTGCGATAGGTAATTTTGAATATTGCACTGCAACAATATCGTAATTTTTACTATTGCACTGCAAATAATATTGCAATATTATTGCAATAGATATTGCAATAGTCAAATACTACTGCCAACACTGCTTGCTTTTTCCCACTCCCTCGCTCAATAGAGCACTCATCACTCTACATGTATTTCCGCCATCTTTCTACATCCTAATGTGCTTGACATTTACACATAGAAGCCGATTTGCCGCATGTACCTTCGTGAGTTCTGGTCGCTTTTTTGCTCGCTAATGTGCAAGTCCATTCTCTTTTGCAATTGACTTTATCTTTCCATCACTCATTTTTAGACCTATGTCTTCGCGGCGTTGCTAGAACGTGAGTTTTAGGTGTAGTCGGAAATTGCGAAGCATAGTTCGACAGCCCCATATGCTATAGAGCAATGGCCGGCCAGATCGAGGGAGTGATTTGCCGTTCTGTCTTGGTTTTTCGAGTGCAATAGCACCGCGCGCGAGTGTTGCGTTAGGAGCCCAATCTCCCGTATCGATTTCCTAGCCATTGCAAGGCCCTCAATTCGACCTCTCTCATTTGGCGATAGTTCAATACCACGACCCCTTCGATTTGCATTAACAGGGCCTAACGGCGTACGTGGTGTACTCATATTGTAATTATCATATTATAGATAATTAATTACAGTCGCGAGAAATCGCGCTTTTACGCGTTTCGGCTAATACTTATTGTCGCTTACTGTACAGTAGCTGGATTTTACAAAGAGTTGCTCCACCGCCGCCAGCGCCTATACGGTGGCATTTTGGCCCTAAAATGACGGTTTTTCCCAGTGTTATTGTCGGGCTCCCCAATTGGTGCTTGGCATGAGCCAGTCGAAGGGTCACCAAAGACACCACATGATTTGCGCGCGGTCGCAATATCTTGGCCCTTCCTTCAACAAGTGGATCGAGGACCCCAAGGCACGTGCTAGGTCCCTTGACTCATAAATCACTTCTCGCACAGGCGTTCTCCACTATGAATTACACTTCTTCTGTCTCGCACGGATTTCTGCAGGGCTCACTCTGTCGTATAGTCGTATAGTTCACCAGAGCTGTCGTCCATGTACTGTGGCGTAGGATTGCGGAATGAGTCCGTATTAACTACCGTCGCTGTATTCTTCAAGCTTAACCTCTACTTCCTGGCCTGGGATATTTTACCCTGTGTTTTCAACTACTTGCTAGTCCCGTCGTCGTCTGAATCTTCAAGCATGCGTCGTCGCTGCCTCGGTTTGGTGCCACCACAGCAGCCAAGCCAATGTGCGAGGTAGTTGCTTTTCTAGAATATCCTGTTAGCCTAAGCTTACCCTATATAATAGGCGGATATATCAGATTTCTCCATTATTAATCAAAGCAACAGCCAACCATCGGTCCTCTTGTGCGGTCAGAAATAACCCTCAGATACCTTACGGGCGATGGCCCATTTTTTTAGACGGTTGTGGCATTCTTTGATAGGGGCTGGCCTAATTTTACATGGGTGATTTGTGGGCCATATGATGCTCGCCAGACCAGTCCAGGACTAGTTGCCCAGTACAATATCTCCACCGTAACAGTATTCAACACTATGATAGGCCTCTCAAGTGATATCCATGGCACCAAATATCCTTCAAAACTGAGCTAATAAACTAAGTGCTCTATGAGAGAGTATGGAAATAGCTGTACAATAGTATCGTCATTATGACAGGATTGTTTCGAAACTACAGTCAAACCCTTGTTAAGACGATGGCATCCGTAGCAAGGATTTCCATCGTCTTATTGTATATATCGTTATATAGAGTAATATTATGTAATCCACCTATCTAATGTAACCTGCTGCTGTGACTGGGCTTGAATAGCCTCAAAGGCTGTTTGCAGCCGCTCTAGTGCCTGTATATGCCCTGTAGTAAGGGCATCCTGGCCTTCAGAATACTCAATCAGTATCCGGAGGGCATCCTGGGCCTCCTTTGCCGTAGGCGCAGGCTCCTCAGGCTGCTCCTCCTCTTCCATTACTCATTTTTAGACCTATGTCTTCGCAGCGTTGCTAGAACGTGAGTTTTAGGTGTAGGCAGAAATTGCGAAGCATAGTATAAAATCAACCCACCACATACAGCAATGACCTCAGACCCAAATGCAAAATATACAGCAGAGGATTTCAGTAATACAAATCGCCAGCGTAGACCTAGGTGGCCAGTTTATGGGGCAAATCTTCAGAGGCATGTTACACATCAGACCAACCAGATGAACTGGGCTGAGGCCACCCGGAGACAACTTCTACAGCTTCCTGTTCTAGATACTGAGTCAAGTAACACTCGACCCTATGTGCTACCTCCTTCACTAACATTAAATCAGCCAGAAGACTACTATACTCAGTATAACGCCAATGACGACAACGAGCGTGCTTGGGTCCCTCAATCACAGTCTAATGCCAACGGGTCTACAATGCCAATTATGGAACCAGACTCGGTCTATACATGTACAGAGGAAGCCTATCAAACCGACTACAATGAAGCTTTATTAAGAGACAATGACTACTCAGATGATGGCTCTGTGGAGAGTCCTCAAGTTCTCCGGTATATCTTTGACGCGAACAATAAGACGGCTGCCAAGATGGTAATCCTCACATCATACGACACACTTTCTGCAAGAACTCTCCAGAAGCCCCGTCATCAACCAGGTGACAAAGATAGGCTTATCCAGCCTTCGGAGTGGAAAAGTAAATGGAAGGGAGTTTTCCACACCGTCATCCTAGATGACGGGCATAAGGTCTGCAATTCCTTGACGCAGATCCATGTTGCAGTGGCAAGGTTATGTGTGAAACACCACTGGTTTCTAACTGGTACTCCAGTCCAGAATCAAAGCCTGGTAAGTGAACCCATTCCTATACATGTACAGGGCCCTGCTAATAATGAAGGATATATTGGGACCGTTGAATATCCTCTGGCCCGAGATCAGGAAGGGCGCCCACCTCACCAAAGAACGGATTAGGTGGCTTGGAACGCTAAAAGGCACTTACCAAGACTTCGATCTTCTACTAGAGCCAGATGTCCTACCTACATCATGGAAATGCCTCATTGCAGCTGATCCATACCATGTTCGCCAGCTTCTCAACCGCGGCAATAGAAAAACCATCAATAGACTATATAGGTGCATGGAACAGTTATTGGTACTCCGGCAGTCGACTGCCACTTCAATCCCTACAGACAGCAATGGCAGCCATTTGCAACTGAAGAGCCTTATGCTCCCGCATGAAATAACCACAGCACTGCTTAGGATGACCTCTTCGGAAGCTGCGGAATATCAATTCTTCCACCAGGGTTTCATTAAGTAAGTATAATGCATGCATTCTCTACACCCTGAAGTGCTAACATACAGAAGGGATTACGAGGAAGGGTTGGAGATTTGGTTGAAAGAAAAGGAGCACCAAGTAGATCCTACTGCTGATCTAAAGAGTTTTCCCTGCATCACTGGCCCAATGTGTTCCATGACTATCAATGCTGTCTCGACCTTATTGAGTCGCTTTCACCAAACCTTTACTCACACCAAGGTGTGAGGGCGTTTCCTCGACAATACTGTAGCCACCATTACCATCTTGCGACCTCAGGGTTTCACAGGCCTCCAGCTAGCACATTCAACTTTGAGGAGAGGGGATAGACCTATTACGGATGCTTCAGATCTCCTACAGCACCTGACCTTCAGGAGTCCCAAAATGAGATGGATCATAAAGGACATTATGGAGCACTGCATGAAGCCGGACAAGGATGGAAAGAGGAATAAACTCCTGTGCTCTGAAGAGATATGTAACGCTGACTTCTAAATGATAGAAGACACAGAGGTTCTCTTGCGTAAAGGTTTACTTATCAGAGGAGGCAGGGGATCAGACACAAAGGCTTCAAGTAACACGTTACTAGTATATAACAAATACTGTATTGAGTTGAGCACGAAGCTCCTATCTAAGGAAATACTATCTACTTATATAGTGGCGTCGTGCCTCATGGGTAATCTGGATAGTTGGCGGATAGCTAGATATTCAGGATAGTTCGTGGATAGCTCAACTATCCAATATCCACTAGTTTCTGCAACTATCCATTAGCTCCATCACATGGCAGCCTACCCCGCTTGCCCCCTGTGACTCACACGTCACGTTACTAGGCCCTGGTCCTGTAACCATGACATTACGTTACCGTAGCCGTAACACTAGGTCCTCCTCCAAAAGGCCTAGTCCCTTAGGTCTTGCTGATTAAGGAATCGCTTACTTAAGTAGGGTGATGCCCACTTAATTGTCGAGCAGGTTGCGCTGCTTACCATGTCTTCTAGTAGACACATAAAAATCAAAGAACATCATCTTCTTGCAGACCGTATTGAAAAGAACGGAAACCTAATGTCGCCATGTTCCAGCTGTCTTCACAACAATCGATTCTGTATTGTTGTTGCTGGTAGTCATCGTTGTAGTGAATGTACTCGTCGCAATTCCAAATGCAACGCTTGCGCCCCTTCTCCAACTGATTGGGAGAAGCTTTAAAAAGAAGAAGAGCGTCTTGAGGTAGAAGAGGAAGCGGCGGCATCTCAGGAGCGAGAGGCTCACCTCTGCGCTCAAGAAGCATATGCCCGTCGCATGCGTCTTCGCAAACAGCAGAAGGCTCTCAAAACCCGCGGTGTTGAGATGCTGCATCGTGGCTGAAATCTTTGGACGAATTGGATGAAGCAGAGGAGAAGGAGTGTAGGGAGGCAGAGGTCAAAGGGACTCTCTTGCACAGCCCTTCTACTGCCGTTTCTGAGGGTGCTGCCCCTGACCAGGACCTTTTCGTGGCCCTGTCTCCTGGCTTCTTTGATCGCTTGGGTGTCGACGGCGAAACGCCTCCAGTAGCTCTGGACAGCTAAGGTTTCTGACCGTTTCCCATGAATTGTCCATAGGTTCATAACCTTTCCATTTTATCAAAAACTCTTCTTTGTGTCCTACTAACCTTCTGTCTAGGATCGCTTCGACTTCGTATTCAACAATCTCATTCTCTGGTTGAAGTTCCGTATCGGTCGCAATTGGGGTATTTCCTCTTGCTGGTTCCAGTAGTGAGACATGAAATACCGGGTGTAGTCTAGACTTCTTGGGTAGCTGCAGTCTGTAATTAACTGAGCTGACTTTGTTCAATATTTTGAATGGTCCCAATTTCTTGAAGTCCAACTTTGTACTTGGTCGTTTCGTTTTGATATGTTTCCGGAGTAGGTATACTTTATCCCCTTCCTTGAAGGCAGGTTCCATACTGCGCTTCTTGTTTGCGTATGCGGCGGATCGTTCATTTAAGAATTGGATGTCCGTCGCAAGTTGTTCGTGGAACGATTTCAGTTGTTCCACCACGATCAGGGCTTGTTCAGCTCGTGATTCATCCGGTCTTGGTTGCCTATATGCTTCTGGCTGGTAGCCGTAATTGGCAAAGAACGGTGAGACTCTTGTTGCTTCTGTCTATATGCAAACTGTGCGATGGGTAAGATCTGAACCCAGTTATCCTGTTGATGATTGACATAGCTTCGCAGGTACTGTTCAAGGGTCTGATTTAATCTTTCTGTTTGGCCATCTGTCTGGGGATAAAAAGCTGTTGACAGCTTATGATTTGTTTCCAGTAGCGCCATCAATGATTTCCAGAATTTCGAAGTAAAGAGCTTGTCTCTATCTGAGATGATTTCTTCTGGCATCCCATGATCGGCTAATATGACTCGAATGAAGGTATATGCGAGCGCCTCGGTGTCGCTAGCTTCTAGATATGGTATAAACTTTCCATATTTCGTGAGTTTTTCCGTGATGACGAGGATAGAGTCGTATTCTATTCCTGTTAACGGGTCCTTGGAGGGTGGAAGCTTGACGACAAAGTCCAAAGCTATTGATTTCCACGCTCCTTTTGGTACTGGTGTCGACTTGAGTTGTCCGTATGGCAGATGCCTATTGGATTTTGACTTGCTGCAAATGTCGCACTCTCTTACCACTGTCTCTACCTGCTTCCTCATACCTGGGAAGTAGTAGTGTCGGGTGATTCGTTCGAAGGTTCGTGTTACTCCCTGATGACCGTGTGCTGGTAACGAGTGTTGTTCTTGCACCAGCGGGCGTCTCATTTGACTTGGGACATACACTAACCCTTTGTATCGAATCAATCCTTGTTCGTCGATGGTGAAGTCGCCTTCGACTTTGGACAAGACTCGCTTGGCGCATTCGTCTGTTGCGTAAGCTTTCTTGAGTCTTTCCTCGACTTCTGTATCTTCGATGACTGAGATCGTCACTAGTAACTCGTTGTACTGTATTCCTGCATCTGTTTTCTTCAGAATTGCTCTAGGTCTTTCTTCCTTTGGGCCGGCGTAGTCGGTCCGTCTGCTGAGAGCATCTGCTCTTGCATTCTCGGAGCCCTTGCGATAGGTTATCGTGAAGTTGTAGGCTGCGAGGGTTTCTGCCCAGCGGACTTGTCTGCGGTTTAAAACCTTGGTCGTGGTGAAATATATGAGGTTCTTGTGATCCGTCCATACCTGCACAGGGTAGGTGGATCCCTCAAGATATACTCGCCACTGCTCAAAGGCAACGACAATAGCCAGTAGCTCCTTGTCGTGGATGTCGTAATTGAGTTCCGCGGGTGACAGTTTCCTAGAGTAGTACGCGATTGGTTTGAACTTACCGTTCTCGTCTGGTTGATTCAGACATGCTCCAATTGCGAAGTCAGAAGAGTCCGTTTCGAGGATGATCTTCTTTGCAGGGTCAAATGTAGCAAGGATAGGTGCTTCCGTGAACTTCGTCTTAAGTTTCTGGAAAGCAGCCTCTGCCTTGTCCGTCCATTTGAATTCGAGATCCTTTCTGGTAAGCTCCGTGAGTGGTTGAGCTACCTTGGAATATCCCGAGATGAATCTTCAGTAGAAGTTGGCGAAGCCTAGGAAGGCTTGCACTTCCTTGACCGTGGTCAGTGTTGGCCATTCCAACACTGCCGTTACTTTTGCTTGGTCCATCTTGATGCCGTGCGTTCCAATAATGTAACCCAAGAATTTGACTTGGTTTTTATGGAACTCGCACTTCTCTGGTTTGAGGAGTAAGCTGTACTCCTTTAGTTTCTTCAGGACAAGTTTGACATGCTTGACATGCTCTTCCTTGGTTGCCGAATACACCAGGATGTCGTCTAGGTAGACAATGGTAAAGATGTCTAAGTATTCGTGCAAAGCATCATTCACCAGTCGTTGCATGGATGCAGGTGCGTTTGTTAGCCCAAAGGGCATGACTTGATACTCGAATAGGCCATAGCGGGTGCGGAATGCTGTTTTCCACTCTTCCCCGGCCTTGATTCGGATCAGGTTGTATGCTCCTCGCAGATCTAGCTTACTGAAGATCTTTGCTCCTTGAAATCTATCGTGTAGTTCGTTGATTAACGGCAGGGCATACCTGTCCTTGATTGTGATGTTGTTCAACGCTCGATAGTCCACACATAACCGTAGGGAGCCGTCTTTCTTTGGTACGAAAAGCACCGGACTTCCTGCTGGTGATGTGGATGGTCTGATGAATCCTCTCGCTAGGTTATCATCGATGTACTCCTTAAGTACCTTCAGCTCCTTTTCCGATAGCTAATATATTGGTCCGAACGGTGGACTCTTGTCTTTCTCTAGGGGTATCTCGTGATCCCATGGTTGGTGCTTAGGAAGCGCCTCGTTCTTAGTGCCTTCCTGGAATAATTGCTTGTATTCCTTGTACTCCACCGGTATACTCGTCGGTGAGGATGCCTGGGCTAGGTCATCGAGCTCGGAGGTTGCACATAACTCCTTCTGGCCCTGGGAGGCTTTCTCCCGTTGTTGCGTGTCCGTCCGTTGTTCACACGCGCACTGGCTCATCACAACTTTCTCGTTCCACCAGTCGATCTGGGGGTTGTGTTTCTTGAGCCATGGCACACCAAGGATGCACGCATGGTTGTCCATGTGCACGATGTCAAACTGAATCGTTTCCTTGTGCCCGTGTAGCATGACCATTTCTAATGGGACCGTTTCGTGGGTCACCATTCCTTCATTAGTCGAGATGGGCTCTCCATCTACGACCATTAACGGGTATGGTTCGGCTTTCATTGTTGTTTTGAAGCCCTGTGTATCTGCTACTTTCTTTGTCATAAAGTTGCCCGTCGCTCCGGAGTCAATCATTGCTCGGAGGTGTCGCTGTTGTATTTTAGCGACCACATATAGTTGCATGCTGCCCGTCGTGGTGCATAGCTGGTCTGTACTAGGCCTCTTCGTGTCGCTCGCCGTGGCCTACCGTCGAGGACTCCTAGTTTTTTTACTCGTCCGAGGAGGGATAGTATTCATCCGCTTCCAATGGAGGTCCTGGGGGAGATCGTCTCCCTGTCTCTGCTGCGTCGTTCAGCAGGTGTGGATATCTTTCGTATACCTGTTCGCTTTTGATAGGCAAGTCCCCTTCAGACTGGCTTCGCCTGAGGGCGTGAACTTGCTCTGCATCTCTGAAGTGTATCCTGGGCGAGGATCGGGGAAACAACTGATTCTGGTGTTTCTTTTTCCAGTGGAGCTTGCAGTCATCTTTGCTGCAATACTCCAGTAGATATACGCGTGCCAGGGATGATCAGTCTCTGTTGCGTCTGTCGTTGATAGTTCCCGCTGTCCTCTCACCCATGCACTATCTTCCCTCGGAGGCGTGGAGAACGTGTCTAGTTGCTCCATGGCTCTCCTTTCGATGCGTGGAGTGGGTCTCGCATTTTCCCGTCAGAGCATATCTCTGGCTTTCTCGTCGTACTTCTCCAGGGTTCTCCTGCGGTCCTGGTAGTAAAGTTTGACGCTTTTCATATTCTTCAGTTTAGCCATATGCTCGACATCCTTCTCCAGTTCTTCCGCTTCTTGGGCTTCCAACTTAGCTACATCTGGGGACGTGCCAAGCAGCCTGCGGGTATTCGTTAGTTGGTCATAGTATCTCCAGAGGTTGTCCTTGCAGTCGTCCACTAGACATTCTTGTGGTAATCCCTGCAGTAGGTTTGTGTAGATTCCCTCAAGCGTAGGGATCCTCCTCCGGCTGTTAGGTTCGTCTCTCGCGTTCCTAATCTTCTCATGGGCGTGTCTGGCCATGCATTTTACTATATCCTTGCACCGAGGACTCATTGGACCTGTGGGTGCGAGTTCGTCGAAGGTCTCCTGTTCTGAGACGGTGAACAATTCCGCCTCCGACCCTTCGTCTGAGCTCTCGTCTTCTGGGGTGCTTTCGCCGTTTATTCCCCAGTCCTGTTTGTTCACAAACGTTGCATTCAACTGTCCTGTCCAGGTGGCGTTGAGTTGCTTCCCGAACTTCCTTCCACTGTCCCCTTTCTTTGACTGCCTGCAGTCCCGGGCCATGTGGCCAGGTTTGTCACAGTTGAAACAGAGTCGTTCCTTAACTTGTCTCTCCTTCTTTGGGTCATGGGGTCATCCGGTTTTGAATGTGGCATCAAGTTCCATAGGGTCTGACCAATGATTGTCTCGTGGGTGGTTGCCCCGTCTTCGGCCTTCGTTCCCTCGGTACTTGTTGTACTTCTTTGGGTTGTCGTAGGTTTGACGTTCCTTCTGGAATTCATACATCCGGTTATCGATTCGGACGGTGTGCTCGATGAGAGACACCATATCCGTTGGTTGAGTTTTCCATGCGTGCAAGTTCCATTGGTACTTTCATATTTGAAATAATCCTTGAGGAATGGTTCGACCCATCGCAGGGCTTCCCCCCTAAGGTAGGACGCAGTCCACAGGGCATAGCTCTCCTGGGTGGAAAACTTCTCGTCATTGAAGTGCTGGTACAGTTCGACCTGTAGCAAAAACACCTCAAGTTCCTTTCGGTTGCCGGAGTAAGTGTCGGGCAACTTGACGCGTAGAGTTTCCTTGAGTTCGTTGACGGTGGGTGCGTCGGGCATCTCTTCATTCTCAGGCTTAGACCTCTGAGACGAAGTTGGCGTGGTGGGGGTTTTCCCCTTCGAACTGACGACAGACATGTTGCTTTGTGTATGAGCCAGTGCCTCATAGAAGTGGTGCTCAAAGTGTAACGCTGACTTCTAAATGATAGAAGACACAGAGGTTCTCTTGCGTAAAGGTTTACTTATCAGAGGAGGCAGGGGATCAGACACAAAGGCTTCAAGTAACACGTTACTAGTATATAACAAATACTGTATTGAGTTGAGCACGAAGCTCCTATCTAAGGAAATACTATCTACTTATATAGTGGCGTCGTGCCTCATGGGTAATCTGGATAGTTGGCGGATAGCTAGATATTCAGGATAGTTCGTGGATAGCTCAACTATCCAATATCCACTAGTTTCTGCAACTATCCATTAGCTCCATCACATGGCAGCCTACCCCGCTTGCCCCCTGTGACTCACACGTCACGTTACTAGGCCCTGGTCCTGTAACCATGACATTACGTTACCGTAGCCGTAACAAGATACCAGTCTCCACTTGGTATGTAGAGATGGTTTGCAAGACCTTCTACATTCGAGCAGAGGTGTTACATGCTGGACTGACAGATCCTCACTCTAGCCTTACCATACTCGCCATGATGTATGCGGTGTCGTCCCAAGGTACAAATTTAGACGGTGCATGTCACTGTGTTTGTTCGATAACAACAGCAATCAACCTCCCAGTTGAACTGCAGGTTCATTATCATCCAATCAGAGTAAGAGCCCCCCCTACCCATGGAACATGTACAGAGGAGGGTGCTAATCCATATGGAGGTTTCTCAGAAGAAGAAAGTCACGATAGTTAGACTATCTGTGCTAAACAGCCATGATGCCTGGCGAGAAATTAAGCAGATTGACAAGAACATCATTGATATTCTGACCAAGCTCCGTTCTCCCGAGTCATTCAGGCCATTGCTGATGCACTAAACAACACGCGCGACGAGGTGCTCATCTCTCTCCCGAGGGCCAGATACTATTGGCTGGAGAAATTCTTCCTTTGCAGCTTCATGAATCATCCTTCGTGCCTGTCCTAGAGGATGTTAATTTGATTACTCCTGCTCCTACGTTTGGTGATTCTACTGCTGAGGATTGGACTAGCGATGAAGACAAACCAGGGCCGTCATTTACTCCAGTTAATCGTCCTATTCTGAAGAGCGTGCGATGCTAGCAAAGACTGTTTGTTCAGCTCATGGAAGAGAGGTGCCTTCCTCGTCTAGCGGCCCTTCTGGAGAGTATATCCCACACGGGAGTGATAGCTAATCTGATGATGACATCAACGCTATAATTGCCCCTGGTGATCTAAGTGATGACAACAATGGGCCTGAGCTTACACCTACTGATTACATTAAGGATTTCAAAAAGTCGTGGATAAAGCTTACCCCTGAGGAGAAAGCTCTTTATGACCAAGATGAACTTCATTTTCTTGTGTTTGTTAAGCATGGAACACACTGGTGTAGAGATCCAGGGTACCCTTGACTCAGCGGTTGCAGAGTGTGGATTACGCCTTGTTATTGCTTGACGCTCTGGCCAGTTTAGGACAGGGGTTAAGGTCTCCCCCCACATTAAATACAATGCCATTCTTGACCATAACTCTGGCAGCCAGGAGCCTTTCTTGTCCCCAGTGTTTTCAACAACTCACAATATTGTAATTGTGGGTGCACCAGATGTGAGAATCTAGCCACCCAAGGAAGGGATGATTTTACTAAGACAACACACTGTCTTAGAAAAAGAGCCAAAGGGTGTAGCTTAGACTATTCCACAACGCAGCAATCAGGTGTATGATATAGTGGAGTGGTTTAGACAAGTTGTAACAAATGTTGAGTCTGAGAACTCAGGGATAAGTCAGAGGTTAGCACCTCACTGACTTTTCAGAAACAAGGAGTAACAAGATCAATGCTTGGAAGCTTGGAAAAGACGTGGAAGTATGTGATAGAGACTTTCCATGACTAACCAGGCTTGGTAACTGTAGTCGACGTAAGAAAATCCCATAGAACCATCTCCTAGGTTCCTAGCCTATAGGAAGTGAAAGGAGGTCCAAGGTCAGAGTACCCCTATAGACAGATTATGTCATAACTTAACCAATCTTGTGGGTAACTAAAGAGCGATGACATGTAATGAATCATAGAGGTTCGTAGGAGCTTTTAGAGCTATCGTTCATGCTCCTAGGCCTCTAGTTGGTAGAGATATGTCATGTGGTAGTATGAGTGATGTCATGTAATGAATCATAGAGGGTTGTAGAGATATGCTATGTGGTAATATCAGTCCAGTAACTAAGGAGCGATGACGTGTAATGAATCATAGAGGGTTGTAGCAATCGTTGAGTAGTATTGCTCTTGTTGTTGGTGTGATAAGCCAAAATATGTATAGTGACTTGTAGGTTTGAGGAGGAGATTTCCAAGTTTGCTCTTGAGTTTGATAGCAAACTGAGTGCAACGAATGTCAGTATGACAAATATCGGAAGGAGCTTGGCTCTAATGTAATGGTGGGTGCACCAGATATGAGAATCTAGCCACCCAAGGAAGGGATGAATTTACTAAGACAACACACTGTCTTAGGAAACAGAGCCAAAGGGTTGTAGCTTAGACTATTCCACAACGCAGCAATCAGGTGTGTGATGTAGTGAAGTGGGTTAGACAAGTTGCAACAAATGTTGAGTCTGGGAACTCAGGGGTAAGTCAGAGGTTAGCACCTCACTGACTTTTCAAAAACAGAGAATAACAAGATCAATGCTTGGAAGCTTGGAAAAGACATAGAAGTATGTGCTAGTCGATTTACTGTATTGCCTGCTTGCCCTTTCTTAAGGAAAGGGCAATCCTATTTATGCCAAAGGAGTGTAGTTCTCTCATTTTCCATGACTTTCCATGACTAACCAGGCTTGGTAAATGTATTAGAAATCAAGTGCGACCCACAACTAGCTTGCGAATCATGTAGTGAACGTAAGAGAATCCCATAGAACCATCTCTTGGGTTCCTAGCCTATAGGAAGTGAAAAGGAGGTCCAAGGTCAGAGTACCTATAGATAAATTATGTCATAACTTAACCAATCTTGTGGGTAACTAAGGAGCGATGACGTGTAATGAATCATAGAGGGTTGTAGAAGCTTCTAGAGCTATCGTTCATGTTCCTAGGCCTCTAGTTGGTAGATATATGCCATGTGGTAGTATTGGCCCACCCCCTTAAGGAGGAGATTTTCTTAATAACTTGTTCAATGAGTGTTCAAATGATATGCCGTGATGTATGTAGCATAAACAGATGTAGTAGAAGAGTTTGCAGCAATCGTTGAGTAGTATTGCTTCTGTTGTTGGTGTGATAAGCCAAGATATGTATGGTGACTTGTAGGTTTGAGGAGGAGATTTCTAAGTTTGCTCTTGAGTTTGATAGCAAACTGAGTGCAACGAATGTCAGTATGACATCTAAGGCGCTTTGTGCGGATGCTAGCACCAATCTCTGAGGTTGTGAGCACGATCGCTACCACCCACCTTAATGCTAGCTTTGTTCCAATGGCCACAGGCTCTCCTGAACATGTACAGAAGACTGTACTGCCAGACACTGCTAATACTGTCAAGTCCTATGGTATTAGGATATTGAATGTAGTAGACCCAGGCAAAAGCCATGATCCGGTTCTTAATGAGGTTCTGATGGATATGACTCCTGACAGACCATTGAGTCCTTCTCTTTTGACTGCTCATTCTGAATAAGGCAGTAGCAGCTTTACTTCAGTACCCTTTTTACAGCAATGTTTTATGGCGTATGGCTAATAGTGGAGGATTTATCGTCATGGATGGATTTACTACCGTCATTGTATATTAGAAAACCATAAATAGGATAAAGTAAATCACATTTGTCCTGGAATATTATGATTTGTATATGACATGTGTAGGTTCGTACATAAGGAACGATATTGTATTGAATTTATATGGAATAGTTTCGAAACAATCCTGTCATAATGACGATACTATTGTACAGCTATTTCCATGCTCTCTCATAGAGCACTTAGTTTATTAGCTCAGTTTTGAAGGATATTTGGTGCCATGGATATCGCTTGAGAGGCCTATCATAGTGTTGGATACTGTTATGGTGGAGATATTGTACTGGGCAACTAGTCCTGGACTGGTCTGGCGAGCATCATATGGCCCACAAATCACTCATGTAAAATTAGGCTCGCACCCTATCAAAGAGTGCCACAACCATCTAAAAAAATGGGCTGTCGCCCATAAGGTACACAAGACAGTGTGGGTCAGTCTAAGACCCTTTTATACGATTAATCCTCTCCAATGGTCACGAAAAAAGGGCCGGCCCCCCTAAGGTACACTTTAGAAAGGTAGAAATTGACGCCGATCTCATCACCTCGGGCCGTTCCGTGACCCCTGAACCTTGCTAATCTAGCGGCAGGGTGGCATCCACCATGTGAACAGCGGGACGGGCTTGCGAATCGCGATGGGCTGGCTCGGCACGGCACGGGGTAACACATTACATGGTAGGCTATCTGGTTATCTGGTGGCGGTTTGCACATGGATACAGCATTGGTCCTCGAGGTCCCCTTGGTCCTGTCTTGCCTGTAGCTCACAGCTAGTTCATATGTTACATGTGTTAAGTTAGGAGGCCAAAGAATGGGATTTAGCTACTAATTAGTACCCTTTACGTACTAGCATGCTGTAGATAGCACACCGTGCGTAGATGGATACAAGGGGTCGGAGATCATCCACCTCGTGTTAAACCGTGCCAAGTCTTCAGCGCCTCGATCGAGACATGGGTTAGGGCATGGCCTTAATCGTATGATGTAATCGTATTGATCAATACGGTACTGGGTAATATCTCCCTCCACATTGTGCAAGGGTCTGTTCTGCTGCTTTTGTCCCGTGGCGTTCAAAATCCTAGAGTCCATACCCATAGAATTTCATTTTCTTTAAAACAGCGTTGCGTGGTATGAGCAGGGTAGCTCTACGAGTTTTGTTCATTTGTGAGGTACAGTATAGCATGAGTAAGATCGAGAACCTCGAGCGAAAAGCTATATGGCCGATGCCGTCAGTTCGGCCATTAAATCGTACTATTTGCCACACCTCCCATCAGCAAGCCTCAAAATCCCCCCAGCCGCCCCATACTAGTTGACGATGTGGCTTGCGGTAAGATATGAAGCTAGTCGGGCTGGCTTGAGCTGAGGCGTTGTAAAATGACACATATTCCAGTTATAATACAAATGGTGCTGGAGCATCGCACTTGAACTTGCAAATATGAACATGTCCACAACTCCACAGGAAGATCCCCGTGTCCGACGACGGCGGCGTCAGAATCGTGAATCACAGCGCCGGTGGAGTATGTATATATCACACTGGACAAGTACAGAGATGGGGATGGCTGACCCTCATACCCTATCTTTAGGACAGCGATATAGACAAGCTAAGCCCGACGATGCAAAACAACCAGAGAGTACACAACCTGGTGTCGACGAGGCGCTGCTTGATACAACACCACATATGACAGACCTACAGCCACGACCTGAGTCAAAAAACTCGCTGGAGCTGCCGGATCATAACAGCTACTCTGTGCAACACACCAATTGGATTTCGGATCAGCTGGTGGGACAGTCCGATGCCCACGTCTCCTGGCCGCCGATGGATGTCAACTTCTACCTCCAGCAAGGCGAGAGCTGCCTCTCGACTCACAGCCCGAACAACGAACTGTCAGGAGATATCTCTGCCAATGGTTATCTAAATGGTGTAGACGAGGCTTCGATACAAGCCTCGCCGGAGTATTTTATGTCACCGCAGATCCGAGGGCAATTTTCTCACTTCCCATCCGCTGGGACATGCCACCCTGCCCTGCTCACACCACCCGCATCGTCAAGCTCCGCAGTAAGAAAAACATTCCCCTCGACTTAATTTGTTTGAAAACATGATTCTGACTATCAAAACAGGCCGTCAGCGCAGTTTACGGCCTAGCCAATACTGGCGGCCGGTGCAAGGAATCAGAAACAGCGTCTCCGGCGGTAGAGACAATTCGGGACGTTCAATTACTTTACAGTATCGGAGTGAAGGCGGGTTTCTTGAAGCCGGATGACAAAGTAAAGTACTATCTTGCCGCCATGAAGCGGATATATTGCAAGGCACCAACTCTGATGGACGAGGACGATGATGGGCTAAGCGGGAGCGATATAGAAGAGTGGAGTGATGAAGCGCTGTCGGATGGGGGTAAGCTGGCCTTGCCTCAAGGCAAGGCCAGCTTACCCCCATCCGACAGCAACTTTAGCAATAGATAAACACTGTAGCTAACACGATAGAAAGAATAAATATATACATACTCTCATTGAAACTGTTTAAGGTCTGGAGTGTGATACTCTTGGATCCCAAAAGTGTGTTCAACGGCCGTGCGTCCTCACAAGTAACTGCGTACAATGAAATTCACCTTCTTGATTAACAATTTAAATACTAAATTCTATAGTATTAAATTCCTATAAATCGAAATAAAAAGATAATTACAACCTATAAAGCCAGTAAAGTTGGGGCCGGCGTGATTCACCATTATTAAAGAATGGGCAAAAGAAGATCTATATACCTGCACCACCCCTGTAAAGATCTATATACCCAACAACTATCAATAGATTCTGCCACATTTAGTCAGCATCGCTGGCCCCATGTCTCACGGTAGCCAACCATGTTTCCCGCCTACATATAACACAGGTCCCACGGCGGAGGCCAAAGAAGGAGAGGTTCTAGAAGGGAGGACCCATGGAGGAGAGTTGGGAGGGGAGAGGGAGTTTCTGGCGCTGCTCTACTTGTGGGGAGCAGGGCACAATATGAGAAGCTGCTGGTGCGCGCACGAGTAGGGCGCTTTCACGAGTATGGTGGGAGCAAGTTCAGTGAAGCAGCGGTTCAAATGGGACATCAGGGTCAATGGAGTCTCGGAGGAAGCCGAAGGTGGCAGCAGGGTATATAAATCTTGGGCAAAAACTTGATATACCTAGTAAACTGGTAAGAAAACTCCATCTACCCAGTCGGCCGCTAACCCTCTTTTGTAAAGGTTAACGAGCCAGCTCAATTGCACAGTAAGTCGGGGGTCAATTGAGACCCCCAAACCTCCTCCCCCTTCCCTTCCTCCCCTCCACCACAGAACCCCGCTGACACCACCCAAGCTCCCTCCCTCCTCCTGTTACGATGATCATAGAGGTCATGATGCCAGTCCAGGAAAAGTAATCTAGGTTGAATCTAAAGAGAAAAGAAGAAGAAGAAGGAAGGAAGGTGAGGCTATTCCTCATAACATACAGTTGTCTGCTTAGCGGTTGTAACCTTGGTGGCTAAGGCTACACCCGTAATCCCCATAACAACCGTAATAACTGTAATAACCGTAACAACTGTAACAACTGTAACAAGCTGTGACAAGCTGTGAGCTGTAATCGTAACACCTCTGACCCCCTCGAAACCCCCCTCGGAAGCCCTCGCGCAAGGCACAAACTCCCCCGCCTCCCCCGCCCCTGCCTCCTACGATGGCCTCGCTAGCCGAACTCGCTGCCCCTGTCAACAGTAGCGAGTTCCTCGACTTGGACGCTTGGTCCTGCGCCCTGGACGACTGGGCCATCAAGGAGAAGTTCTCCTGGCAGCTCCAGAGGAGGGACAAAGACGGGGCAACTGCCGTTTGTCCCAAGGAGGGCTGTGCCTGGCGTGTCTGAGCCAGCCCCGACGACGAGCAATGGAATCCCCCGCGGCTGACTGTGAAAAGAGAGGGTTCGGAGGGGCGTCCTTGAGGAAGCCGGGCTCGCTGGGATCACGGAGGACTTCTGCTGCTTGGGGCAGTCGTTGCTGCTGTGCCAGACTTGGTCCGCACACGCTGCGGCACCTGCGGTGAGCCTGGGCATAATGCCAGGACTTGCCGCAGTCCTCATAATTGACCCGTTCTCATATGAGAACAGGGGGGTTTACGGGGGGTTTACAGCCCGTTTTTATATGAGAATGGGGGTTTCTAGATTAGGCTTGGGCGGGTCACGTGGGATGGAACTGGGTATATAGAATTTATTTATTGTTTTACTGGGTATATGGAGTTTTTGCCCTTTATTAAAGCTCAGGGTATATGAATCTTTACAGGGGTGAGTATATACGGAGGATATGTTCATAAGTTTTGTGAGTAGGGGGGGATATAAAAGCCAGGTACAGGGCTGCGCGCAAATCGATGGTGTATCTCGCCTCATATTTTATATGTGATCGATGAATGAGTTTATGCTGTAGCGCATTGGTTAGCTGCCTTTGCAGAACCCTGGGAGGTGCGGCCTTACTGTCATGTTGACATCCTGGAGGAGAGTATTATTGAAGTCACGAATAAGGTGGCGCGGATTGTATCCGAGGCCGTCCGCGCGGGGATTGGGGTTGATGTAGAGGCCGTTGGTTACAACACTGTTCACAACCAGCCCAAGGTTCAACTTCCAGTTGACAAGGGGACCATTGTAAATGTAACCATCACCTGTGCCTGGAGGACAGTAGAGAGCAAGGGGGTTCTTGACATGAATTGGGGAAGGCTGGAGGAGGACTACCCATATCATCGTCTTCGAAGACAGAGCGCTGCCGACGACTGGGAAGTAAAGTTCGAGGCTGGTATGCCTGGAATTCAATAGGTTTGGTATGCGATGCCATAGTTATTACTTGTATTGAATATAATACAATCATACATACGACTCTATTACTAACTCTACAGCTACATGACATTCCCTGAAGGTGATTACTAACAAATACTCTAACTACAACAGGATTATGGCTCGCTGTAAGTCTTCAACAGATAACTGTTAAACCTCTACAGTCCTAAGTCCTAAATAGGAAGTAGTGGAGCTCGGGCTTGCAAGGTTTGTACAGGGATTATGGCACTAAATTCTCATATTTCTATACTAACTACATATGGGGGTGTTGAACAGCCTGTTCAACAGTTGCTAATGTCATGGTTCACCAAGGCATAGGGCGCCAGTTGGGTATTATGAATTAAACTCAATCTAGAGAAGAAAGGAAAGAGAAGAGGAGCACTCGAGCAGTGGCTCGATCTATATACAGCTATTTAGCAGAGACCAGTTCTGAGAATTCACTCCACAACTGAAAACTTCGCTCCAACCCCGGAAAGCTCCCCACACCCCTGAACCCCCACTCGAGCTGCAAGGCGCACTTGATATCGTAACACTACCCCCCCCCTACTCCAGAGTTGATCTCCTGATTAAGAAATCCCATTTTCAAAAAAAAACAATTGTCTCCAGCTCTCATTTTGGTTTCTGAGGGTATTTTCTGTGATATGCTTGGGTCACTTCTGGAGAATTTTCAAAGCTCTCTGCAGTATACCATGTCTCATCCGGTGGATAGTTCTTCCAAGCTGCCTTGTAGAAAAGCTTCTTTCGAATAACTTTTGAGTCGAGGATTTCGTCCACTTCCCACTCCTCTTCGCCATTGACAATGACTGGAGGCTCTGGCTCCTGTTGCTGCCCTTCAATTGCATCATTCGAGTCAAGTCTTAATAGATTGGCATGAAATACTGGATGAATCTTCATGCTGTTTGGAAGTTTGAGCCGATATGCAACTTGCCCAATTCGCTCTAGAATTTCAAAAGGTCCCACTTGCTTGTGGTCTAGCTTCTTTGATGGCCTCTGTGTCTTTATATTTCGAGTTGAAAGCCATACTCTGTAACCCACTTGATAGCGTGGTGCAGGTTTCCTTTTCTTGTTCGCGAAATGTTCCATTTTTGCTTGCGAGAGCGTGATTTCATCCTGCAGAAACTCCCAAACCTTTGCCATGGTCTGAGCTATGTTCTTGTGCTCTTGTTTGGCTTCGTGATATGCTTGCTGCTCTGTATCGAAGCTCATTCTTGGTTCATAGCCCTTGTTCGCAAAAAACGCACTTGTCTTGGTTGCATCTGATGGCAAACTGTTGGCAGCAAACTCCGCCATGCACAAGTATGAAACCCAATTGTCTTGAAGATAGTTCACATGAGCTCGCAAGTAGCGTTCGAGCTCTGCATTGAATCGCTCAGTCTGTCCATCTGTTTCTGGGTGGAAGGCAGTTGAAAGTTTGGCCGAAATTTTCCAAATTTTGCAGAGCAAACTCCAGACTTCTGCAATGAACTGAGGACCTCTGTCTGATATTATCGAGTTTGGTAGACCATGGTGCTTCCATACATGTCGAAGTAAGAGCTGTGCTGTAGCTTCTGCAGTAGTCCCTTCTTGCCCAGCGAAACACGGAATGAAATGTCTTTCTTTCGTCAACCTGCATGCAACAACCAAGATAGCATTGTTCCCTTCACAGAGTGGTAATCCTGTCACGAAATCCATTGATATATCCATCCATGGTCGACTGTCAATAGGGATTGGTTGTAGAAGTCCATTGTAGGAATCTCGAGATGGTTTCGATCTTCGACAACTATGGCAGTTTTTGATATATCGAATTATTGTTTTGTCCATGTTTGGCCAGTAATAGTGCTGTTTTATGACTCGCAGCATCTTTTCAGCTCCTGGATGTCCCATAGAAGGTTGTTCATGAACTTCTCTCAACAAGTCCACCTGAATGGTTTCTGGCACCCAAACTCTATTTTGATATTCTAGCATGCCGTTTTTGAGTTCGCAATAAGCCAATGCAACATCTTTGCTTGTTCGATCACCATTCTCAAGCTTCTGTAGTGTAGCCTTGCAGAATTTGTCTTCCAGTTGAGACTTTTGGATTTTCTCAAGAATTGTCATTTCTCTGATATGAGTTTCCACTGGAGCTAGCTGAGCTGTTTGGCCTTGTTCTTTGAGTTTCTGAATGTCTGGATGTAGCCTCGAAGGTGGTAGCAACACCTGAAGCTGTTGCTTTTGTCGATCATCCTCATCATTGCCTTCTGGTCTGTCACCAGGCCTTCGAGTCAAAGCATCTGCTTTTCCATTTTGCTTCCCAGGCCTATAGATGATCTGGAAGTTGTATCGAGAGAGGAATTCAGCCCATCGAGCTTGTCTTTTTGTCAGCTTCTTGGTGGACATGAAGTATTCCAAGCTTTTGTGATCAGACAAGACTTGGACTGGAAAATCTGTCCCTTCAAGTTCTGGTCTCCATGCTTCGAAACATCTGATGATTGCAAGCAATTCCTTGTCATATATCTCGTAATTGCATTCTGCAGGTGCTAGCTTTTTCGAGAAGTATGCAACTGGATGTAGAACCCCTTGATCATCTTTTTGTGACAAGACTCCTGATAAGATGAAGTCTGAGGAATCTGCTTCGACATAGGCTGTCTTGTTTCTATCGAAATGCCTCAAGACAGGAGCTTCTGTGACTGTTTGTTTCAACAGCTCGAATGCAGTTTGGCATTCATGAGTCCATTCGAATATCTGATCCTTTCTGGTAAGGTTCACCAATGGCCTCATGATGCTGGAGTAATTTCGGATGAACCTTCGATAGAAATTGCAGAATCCAATGAAAGCTTGCATATCCCTGAGCGATTTTGGAGTTCGCCATTCCAATATAGTAGAAACCTTTGCAGGGTCCATGCGAATGCCATTGACTCCCACGATGAGTCCTAGGAATTTGGTTTCTTGGACGAAAAACTCACATTTTGAGATATCTGCTTGCAGTCCAGCTTCTCGAAGCTTCTGTAGGACTTTCCTTATGTGCTCTGTATGCTCTGCTCGAGTAGCACTGTAGATAAGAATGTCATCCATGTATGCGGTGACGAATTGGTTGAGGTAATCCATGAGGGTTTCATTCATGTACCTCTGGAATGTTGCTGGACCATTTGTGAGTCCGAAGGGCATGACCTTGTATTTGTAGGATCCAAATCGAGTTCTGAATGTAGTGAGGTCTTCATCTTCTTCTGTCTGCATTCGAATTCGATTGAAGGCATGTCGAATGTCCAGTTTGGTGAGATATTTTGCTCCTATGACTTGGGCCAGCGTTTCATCAATGAGTGGTATGGGATATCGATCCTTTTTCGTTATGGCATTTAGCTTCCTGTAGTCAACACAGAATCGAAGACCACCACCTGGCTTTCTCACAAACATAATGGGTGAAGAGTATGGGGCTTTGCTTGCTTTAATGAACCCTTTTGGCAAGTGCTCGAAGACATATTCTTCAACCAAATCAAGTTCTTCCTTTGACATATTCCAGAGTGGTGCATATCCCAGCTTTGCATCACCTTCGAGTTCAATATGATGGTCTGAAGGTCAATGGGGAGGTAGCTTGTCTGCTGCCATTTTTGAAAAAACATCCAAAAATTCATGAAATTCCTTCGGAAGGATCAGTCGAGAGTCAATTTCTTCAGTTTTGGTCTTGTTCTTGTGCTCGATTATGTCCTTCATTGATATAGCAAAGACTTGAGCTCCTCTTTGCTTCATGAGCATTCGAAATGGTGCTGCGCCAATCATTGCTATGGTGCAAGGTTTTGGTTTTTCCACTTTCGGAGCAGGTTCCGGAGGAGGCATTTCTTTGGCTTTCTTCTTTGGCCTTTGTCTTTCGCTTTTAGATATAGGCTCTGTTTCGAGGGCTCGATCTGGTATAGAATGGTTGCAATAATCTCCAGTGAAGAGGACTTGATCATTGATCATATCGAGAACAACTCCATGTTGCTTCATCCAAGCTTTCCCGAGAATGATGGAATGTTTTCCCAGCGAAGTGATGAATAATGGACATAGGCTTTCCACATGCTCTCCCACTTGTAGTCGAGGATATATAGCATGTGTGATAGCAGGGGCAGCCTCTCCATTGAATCCTTCAACTTGTTTTGGCTTCACAAGTTCGACTGGGGCTATCCCTTCGATTTCACATATTCTTTCTGCATCAGCAGCATTAATGAAGTTTCCACCTGTGGCACCAGTATCGATCAATGCATGGACAATAGCTTTGTATTTTCCTATTCTACAAGTAGCTAAGAAAGGGGTGTCCGGATCAAAACTGGATCTCGAGGAAGAAGCTGCAATTCTGGCTGCACTGCCTCTAGTGATGACTTGTCTAGAGGCTATTCGTTTTCCGAATCGATGATAGACTCAGCTGTAGATACTTCATTCACTTGAGCTTTGAGCTTCTGGGGACAGTCTCGAGCTCGATGTCCATTTTGTCGGCATATGAAGCATTTCCCAAGTTTCATGAGCATTTCTTTTGCTGGATCTTGATGCGGTGGTCGATACAGCTTCTGCGTCTTGTTTTGCATGTTCGAATCCATTGTAGGTTGAGGGATTGAAGTTTGAAGTGCCTGGCCCTGATTTTGAGTTTGGCCCATGTTGTTCGAAAATGACTTTGGCTTCCTTTTGTCTTCCTGTTCCTTGATCTGCTAAATGTTCTGGTCGATGAGCATATATTTCTTTGCAAACTCGTGAAGTGTAGTAGCTCCAACTTCATCCACTAAGGCTTTCTGCATCTGTTGGTTGACTTTGAAGCGCAAGTCATCCAGCAAAGTTTCTTCAGAGTAATCAAGCTCTGTCGTGAGCCTTTGGAACTCAGCCCAGAACACTGCAAAGGTGTTGTTTCTCTGATACAGCTTTCGATACTCAGTTTGAGCTGTGTGCCTTCGATCGGGATCACTGAAGACTTTTTCCAAAAGTTTGAGAATTTCTTCTGCTGTCTGCAATTTGTTTGTAGACTTTGGTCGAAGCCTTGGATTGACATGTCGAACTGCCAGTCCTCCCAGTCGACTCTGAATGTAGCTCATTTGTAAAGTCTGTGTTGGAAAATGATCAATGTTGGCTTCGAGCTTGAGGCGAATTTTCACAACCCAGTCTTCAAATGCTGGCTCTATCCCATCTGTGAGGATTGGAGGGTCTGGAATCCGAGCTGACAGTCGACTGTGAGAGTGGTGTCCTGGTTCATTCTTCAGAGCTTGTTGGGTTTGCTTTTCAAGATATTTCTGAATTGTTTGTTGCTCTGTGATTTGTTGCTCGTTGCTCTGGATCAGTTCCTGTAACTGGAGAATGGCATCATCCTTTTCAGCCAGTATCGAATTTGAGTCCTCTGCTAGGGCCAAATAGTCCCGAAGAATGTTCTTGTGCAAAGTCCATGCCATTTTCTGGTTGGCGACAGATAGTTTCTGGAATTCGTCAAAGGTTTCAACATTCCATTCAGCCTTTTCATGTCGATTTGCAAGTATAGATTCATGTCTCTCTTGAGCTGTTTTGCCCAGAGTGTGAAGGAAGGTTTCGGATTTGAAATTAGGATCATGAAGTTCATTGGTTTGGTTTGCAGAGCTTGGAATTGATGCTCCTTCTGCCAGGGATTCCTGGTCTTGTTCTGGATCATTTCGAGCTACCATTGCAGCTTTTTCTTCAGCTGTATAAGCCATAGCGAGTTGCTATTTCAATTTCGGTTTATATCGTCAAGTCAGACACATATTGCCAAAGGCCCTATTGTGCAGTTGTTGGCCGTAGGAGCCACTCGAGAGGAGCGCACTTCCCTCACAGTTATATCCTTGTCGAGGGAGCGTTGTAAAAGGTCTGACTTGCGAAGGTGGTGTGTGTGTGTCGAGCTGACTGTCAAAAGCCAACTTTGAGGGGTTGCCTCGAGATCGTCCTGGAATCGACTTCAGGATAAGGTTTCTGGTTCTGGGGTTTTCAAAGAGTGGATTTCGATTTCGATTTCAGAAGAGGGTTCAGCTCAAAGAGCAGGAAAAGAGGTATAAGAGAGATTGAGTTTTATGTCACGGTTCACCAAGGCATAGGGCGCCAGTTGGGTATTATGAATTAAACTCAATCTAGAGAAGAAAGGAAAGAGAAGAAGAGCACTCGAGCAGTGGCTCGATCTATATACAGCTATTGTGGAGTGAATTCTCTTTAGCGAGACCAGTTCTGAGAATTCACTCCACAACTGAAAACTTCGCTCCAACCCCGGAAAGCTCCCCACACCCCTGAACCCCCACTCGAGCTGCAAGGTGCACTTGATATCGTAACATGGAGTGTATTTGGCATGGTGTACTCAACACAATATCCAGCCACAGGATATTTATAACTTTGATGAGACTGGTTTTCGTGTTGGAGTAGCACCAGGGGAGGATGTAATAGTTCCTGTATCTATTACAGAAGTATGTATAATTCAGTACTTGTAACTTAATACAATTAAACTGACACTATTAAAGATGTATGTTCCAATGGCCGAAAACTGCAAATCTATTACCGTGATTGAGTCAATCTGTGCTGTTGGACAAGTGCTTCCACCAATTATCATTGTACAAGGACGACAACATATGGCATCTTGGTATAATGAGAAATTGACTGGCGATGAGCTTGTATTACTTTCAGACTCAGGATATACCAATAGCGAGCTCGCAATGCTATATTTGGAGCATTTTATCATTCATACAGGAGCTGGGCCTGATAAACCTCTAAAGGTCCTCCTTATGGACAGCCATATCAGTCATACAACACCAGAGTTCGTTATACGGGCAACTTCAATGAATATCCATCCATATCCGCTTCCTTCGCATCTTACGCACATTATGCAGCCACTTGATGTTGGTGTTTTTCAACCTTATAAACACTGGCACAAGAAGGCAATTCAATATGCTATGCGTAATCTTGATATTGATTATAATATAGCTTCATTCTTTCAGGATTTGAACGAAATCCGCCAGCAGACGTTCAAGAAAGGAACAATCATTAGGTCCTTTCGTGAAGCTGGAATGTGGCCAATCAATTCTAAAGAAGCTCTCAAGAAAATGAAAGTTTATACGATTTGTGAGCGCACTCTTGATCCTCCACAAATTCCACAGACTCCAACAAAATTTGTGCATTCTGAGCTCAAATTACGGCACTGGCAAAGTAAAATACCCTGTCTTTTGTCTAGTCCTTCAGCACGAGAATGGGATTCTTGGGCACGTGGTACAGAAAATGTACTTGTTCAAGGAGAACTGGCTATTCTACAGTATGATTTATTATCTACAAAAGTAGCTAATCAACAGAAGGCGAAGCTCAAAAGCCGCTCTGTCGCTCAAGCAAATACTGGTCCATTAACTGCTAAGGATGCATGGAAAAAGATTAATGACAAGGCTAGAAAAGACAAGGAAATTCAAGAGCGAAGGGCGAAATACAAAGCACGAGTAGTGCTTAATAAAGTCAAAAAGGAGCTTCATATTCGTGGAGTTGAGGCCCGTAAAGCAGAGCTTTCAAGAAAGCGGCAAGTTAGCCAGATGTTAAAGGCGAAGGAGGAGGTGCCTTCTGATTTACTTATTCCAATTCCAGATCCAGAAAAAATTGCGCAGGAATCAGAGCTTCAAGAAAAAGCCAATACTCAATTAATTTCAACGATGGGGTACGAATCACACGCTGACGACGACGACGAGACAGGATTTATAAGATTCAGTGGATTGGATACAGACCTATTTGTGGACAGGGAGGACGAAAATTTAGACCCAGGGTTGTTTTAAATTTGGGAATAGCTTTAATTTTATCATATGATTCAATCACTCAATTGCTGGTATAGTTGTTTAGATAGTGGTTGTATTAGATTCTACATAGTTATGATATCTGGTAGGCTTCAACTCGCTTTCAGGCTTTAACTCGCTTTCGCCGACCACCTGTAGGGTGGTCGGTGCGAACACCGACGATTAAACGGGATGAGAAATAATCGGCTTGTCTGCACATATCACGACAATCTCAAAAATTCATGGTGATAACAATTATTAAATAACGTCTACATAATACGGCTTTACTATCAGAATTGCTTCTGAGGTCGAAATCAGCTGGCTCAGCGACATGCCTCGCAGCATGTTTACCCACAGCTCTCATCTTGCCATGAACTGTCGTGGGCTCGGGCAGTAATACGTAAAATAACCAAGCGACCTACAGCTCTGTCTAGTAGATATTAGACCTCTAAGTGCTAAGGAAAGAAGCTATAAAAGTTTTAAGCAAGGCGCTGTATGTCTAACAAAATGATACCAAGACGACAAGATATCCCAAACCGCACTAGCCGCACCCTAATACGGGCGCTCCCGCACCGTATTAGCAGGCGCCGCAACCCGATTCGCTCAGCTTGCGGTAGTCAAATACCCAGCGATTTAGAGTGAGAAGCGCAGCGTCGGATTGCGATGACCCTGCACATGGAATTCGCTGTAGATCATGTCGTGCAGGGACGCCGGCGCCGTGTCTCCAGCTGGTGGAATACACTAGGTGGGTGTAGATATTAGCGATTATGGATGGGGTGCAGATATATCTCGCTTGTCTGTTGCTTCCTGAAGAACTGTAGAGACATTTGCCAACTCACCGGTTTAAGGGTATTAGGTATGGGAAGAAGTGGTTGCGTGTGATGGCCCACTTGCCGATGGATGAAAAGCAGAAGGTAGAGAAAGCGGTAAGGCTACGCGCAACTCAAACCCCGAGAGGGAGAAAAAGAGATGTCATATTTCCATCTGATAGGCGGTACATACTACAACACATAGGAAACAGATACAGAATCTTCCATCTGATAGGAGGTACATACTACAACACATAGGAAACAGATACAGAATCACAAAAGATAACGCCTGCCGCCCAAGCTCCTTGCCCATTTACCATTCCCCGCTTGCGCGCCACATAACCATGAAAAACCCCCATCTAACTCGACCCGTCGTGATACCCACCCCAAAGCCGCCCCATCAATCTGCCATAATCATCCACCCCACCCCTCCCACGAGTCCCGCAAGAATCACCGCCGTCACAACCCCAGCACCAGCTTTGTCTCCAGTCGTCGGGGTCCAGTCGTTAATTAACGACGCCGCGGTTTTAGCGTTGCTACCCGTCTTGTAGTTACCCTGGCTCGTCCCACCAGTAGTATTAGTGACGGGCCCAGGAGTCTGTCCAATCAGTGTACTCTGGATCACTTCAAGCGCCGACATCTCCTCGCCCACTCCCGTGGTCCCGTCCCAGACGCCCGTCTGCCCGTTATGCACCCACCGCAACCCGCAGGCTCGGCCTTTGACCCCGCCAGTGCACTGCGCAGCTGCGGCTTTGGCGGAGGTTAAGAGGAATTTGGAGATGGTATCGGCGGTGAAGGGGGCTACTTTGGAGGTTGCGGCCATCCAGCGGGTTATGTAGGCTTTGAATGATTTCTGGTCCGTGTTGCAGGAGGCGGGCTCGGTGAGCTCGCAGTCGCGTTCGATGATGATGCCGGTGGCGGCGTCGCTGAATACTTTGATGGAGCGGTCGAGGAGGCCTTGGACACGGGCTTTCCAGATGTCGGATTTGGTCTAGTGGCGGTGTTAGTTGGATGGATCGCGCGTGGAGTTTGGTGACGGGGGGGGGGGGGAGTATACTTACGATGTTATACATAGTAGCAGCACCAAGAATCCAGACTCCGGCATTGTAACTATATTGGACATGGTTGATCGACGTACAGTTGCTTAGATCATCCGTACCATCATAGATATTGAACTGCGCATCAATGAGGCCAATACTTTGTGTCCACTCCCAAGTCTTCTCGGCCCAATTTGAGTACGTATCATTTCCGGTGTACCTGGCCAGTCGGGAACCGAGGTTGAAAAAGCAGCCGTTGGAAATGGCATTCTTGTAGTCGTATCCGACGTTGAATCGGAAAATCTGCCATTTAAGACCACCGTTACAATGAGCATCGTCCCAGCGCGAAGCTTGGGTGTAGAACACGGCCTGTGCGAGAGCGAGCCACTGTGGTTGATCCTTTGGAGGATTGGGGAAGTTGTATTCCGCGGCCGTCATCGCGGCCATTCCCCAGAAGCCTTAAAGGGTGTAAGTAAATGCATGTGAGAAGGTATAGTTCTATTAACCTTGGTCATCGTTTCCCAGTGCTTTTGTTTGGTTGGTGGGCATGTAGTCTCGATCATTGCCAACCTGGAAGACCAGAGCTTGTGATATAGCTTCGTTGTAGGAATTGTCGCCTGTTATATGCCAGTAGTCGAGCATGGTGTTCCACATGGCACCAGCCTGCCACCAGAAGTATCCGGACGGAGGCTGTTCGAGGAGCCCCGGGATGTTATACTGTCCAGATTGGTTTCCTGTGTAGTAGCTCATCAAATCGAATGCGATGGAGGATGCGGCAGTCTTCACGGAAGCTAGAACGATGTTAGACAAATAACTCAACTTGCGTAACTGTGGGCTGGAGTCGAGACATACCTGGCGAGGTGAAGTCAACTTCAATAGCGACCGCATGGCCCAAGAAGCCCGCAGCAGCCGTAGCGAGAGCGAAGAAGCTGCCCGTCTTCATCCTGGATGATTTTCAAAATGCTCAGGATAATAGTAGTCGTCGGCCCCACAAGGAGCGTCGTCGTCGTTGTTGGGGTCGGAATACGAGGCACCAGAGGGTATAGATCGTCAAAGTCGATAAATCGCCAATATGAGGTCGAGGGTACAAAACGAATGGAATATATGAATACACACAAAGTGTAGCAGATATCTCAAAGGTTATGAGAGGAGGGACGCCAAGAAATGAGCGGAGTCGTGACAAAAAGCTTCATAACTGGGGTGGGGGGGCTAGTAGATCAGGGTTGATGGACAAGGGATTCTGGGGTAAGCGTGGTGCTCAAACCGACCGTCGTTTGGGGGATGAGAAAGGCGTTAATTGGCTCAGAAGTGGGTATGGGACGGGTATGGGACGGGTATGGGACGGGGGAGATTTGCTGCACAGCCATGACAAAAGTACGGTATTGTACAGTACGTATTGTACCCTAGCAACCTCGTAAACCGTTTCACTAACAGATCACCATAATTACAGTACTCATAATTAGGTACTCTCACCTCTGTCGACCAATGAACAAAAGTAAATATGGATCTCAACTCGTATAAAATGATAAAATGATACGATAAATAAAATAATACAATGATACAATGATGCGATTAAATAATACAATGATAAAATGGCAAAATAGCATCAAAGTAACAAATACTTGAAGGGTTAATTAACTTCTTGCTCCAGAGTTATTTAAGGTACAGCCTACTCGAGTACTAGCGCATGATGCGGGTCCACCATCTTCCTTCCATCTCCATCTCCACCAAAAAACACTTCCGGCGGCGGCACTTAAGTATAGAGTCACGTGATACACTCAACAACCATCAACCTGCACCACGTGATTTATCATATGATCGCATCACATCTCGCTCAGGCACGGACCAGCTATAGAGCTCCTGATTGGTCATCTTTCATCAAATATCTGGAGTCATCGAGGTTCGCGAACCACCCCCTCCATCCCATACCCATACATATCGATCTTTCATGGAGGCGACGGCCTCAACTCTACTGTAACCCGAACAAAATCACCATCGACACAATACACGTCTATTTGCGACACCCAATACACTCTATCCGAAAAAATTTCGATATTATTCATCGCCAGAATCCGAATCACAACTCAATCTCTCCGAATCTTCTCCGATTCTCGTCGCCTTTAAAAACGCCGTGTCTACCCAGAGCCACAGCGAGGCGACCAGACTCGGCACCGGCACAACTTCCCACAACAACGCCTAACACATGAGTAACCTGCTTTGGAGGGCTTACCTAGAAGACGATGTCGACAGGTGTCGGAATCTGCTAGGCAATGGAGCTCAACTGACAAGCAAGGGCCAGGGCGCCCCGTTCGGCCATGGCGGTAGCCTGGGCACAATCGCCAGCAGCCCTGGCGCAGCCTACGCTGCCTCCCCTCGGAATGCCAAGTCAAAGAAATCACTGGGCCACATTGGCAGTACAGGCGCCAAAAACCCGACAAGTGGTCTCACGAAGGCCGACATCAACAGTCGCGACAGCCAGGGTCTGACCATCCTCCACAGAGCAGTTTCGTCCCACACTGCGGAGTCTCTGGATATCGCACTCGCCTTCATTGAGCATCCACTGATCGATTTATACGTACAAGACAAAGAGAATGGCTGGACTGCGCTGCATCGCGCTCTGTACTTTGGCAATGTTTCCATCGCTAGAGCTATTCTCAACAAGGATTCGACAGATACATACTTTCAGGGTCCAGGGAGTACAACCACCAAGGGCACACCTCTTGTCCGAATCAAAGACTACGAAGGCAACAGCGCATTTGACGTGTATAACTCCACCACTGCTCGGCGCACTTTACACCCTATCGAGGTTTCTGTCAAAGTTGACGACTCGGATGACTCGGACTCAGATTATGCTAAAGTGCCGAATACCGAGGCTCCAGGATACGACTCCATCGATGGCGACGAATTTTATGCATTCGGTAGCAATAAGAACTTGACCCTTGGATTTGGCGACGAAGACGACCGGCAACACCCGGAAAAAACAACTCTGAAGCGGCCAGACCACTTAATTTGGCGATTCTATCGAGAGGTTCTTGAATGTCAGAACGAGGAAGACCATCCCAAGAAAGGCCCGGGGCCCAAGCGAATCGAGGATCTCCCCACCCTGATTAGAAACAGGCCGATAATAATCCAAGATGCCATTTTGTCAAAACTCCACAGCGCCATCCTTACGACTGATCCGTATTCGAACCTCTACATGTGCGGTTTTGGGCCGGGTGGTCGATTAGGTCTCGGTCATGATATTACTAGCTTTAACTACGTTTGCGTAGAAGGAGGCGCATTGGAAGAGAAAAAGGTTTCCGCAGTGGCCCTGGGGCAGAATCACAGCTTAGCAGTTACCTCGGACGGAGGGGTTGTAAGCTGGGGAACTAATACCTGCGGAACTCTTGGGTATACACTGCCACGACCGCCAAATGATGAGGAGCCTATCAACAATATTCCACGGCAGATATTCGGGCCTTTGAAGAAGGAGTTTGTCATTGGCGTTGCCGCATCTTCTATCCATTCTGTGGCCCATACCGCCACCTCCCTCTATACATGGGGCAAAAATGAGGGACAGCTTGGCTTAATGGACTCCGACTCGCGGTCTCTGGAAATTCAACCAATTCCCCGAAAGGTCGCTGCGTCACTTTTCACTTCTCCCATACAAATGGTATCAGCAATTAATCGGGCTACAATATGCTTGCTAGCTAATCACACTGTGTGCGTTTTTACCAACTACGGATATAGTATTGTCAAATTCCCCCTCTACGGAGGATTCAGCAACTATCATCTCAAATCTCGCACTCTTACTACGCGATATGAGGCGGAGCCTAGCCATATTTCGTTGGTAACTGCTGGTGGTGACACCATAGCTGCTGTCTCCAGCCGAGGAGATCTGTTTACATTGACTGTCAGCCACAACATCGATTCTAGCACTTCTTCGGCATCATCGACGACGAATCCAGCCAAAATCCGAAGTTCGCTGTCACAGCCTCAAAAGATCTGGTCGTTACGTAAAGGCAACTGGGATGGTATCAAGTCAGTTGGCGTTGGAGAGGATGGCTCCGTTATACTCTGCACGCAAGCTGGTGCTGTTTGGCGCCGCGTCAAGAGGACGAAAGTGAAGGAGGCATTTTCGGCGTATACCAAGAATAAGGACTACAAATTTCAGCGCGTACCTGGCCTTACGAATGTTGCTGGGGTGCGTAGTAATATCTTTGGGGGATATGCAGCTATTCGGAAGGATTGCCACGTCATGACGCAGATATCAATTGATGAGAAGACCCTGTGGGACGATATTGCTCCGCTATTCTGTTTTTCCGGCGAAGAGCTATCTTTCTCGACCACCCTACCAGCGGGCAAGAGAGTTAGGTATCCATGGCCTCCTACAGTGTCAATAGATCACCTCGACCCTCTCAGACAAGCTGTTCTCCTCAGTGCAGATTTTGAAGCAGACGTCGCGCGGCACATCGCCAAGGGTGGTGTCGGCCACGAAAGTTACGATGCTGAGATTTCGAGCTCGGCTGCCAAGACCAAAATTCCCATTCACAGCTTTATATTCGCGGCACGCAGCCCTTTGATTAGAGATGCCTTCAGAAGGGCTAAGGAGACCGGCGAATTTATTATTCCCGATGTGTTAACAATTCGTGCCACGGATGGCTCGTTAAACATCGAGTTTGAGGACCTCGACTTCATCACCATATTCAACCTAGCATTATACTTGTATACTGACAAGGTTCTCGACGTCTGGCATTTTTCGCGCAATGTACCTGCCCGTGGGAACCGATACCGTCAAATACGAAACGATCTTATGCATGTGGCTACAAAACTCGAGATGAATGGGCTGGAAGTCGGGGTGCGGAGAATGGCCGCGCCGCTACGTCGGATGAACATAGACTTCGCTTTTGCCCTGAATGACCCGGCTTTCTTCACCGATGGCGATGCGGTGATTGAGCTTGATGGCGACGAAGTAACTGTCCACAGTACCTTTTGGCGTCAACGATGCCCTTTCTTCGAGGGCCTGTTTGGTGGCCGTGCTGGGGGACAGTGGCTTGCAGGTCGCAAGGAAGATTCTGAGCCTGTCCGAGTTGATCTGACCCATATTGAGTCATCGACCTTCGACATTGTGTTAAGACATGTTTACACGGATGCAGGAACCGAATTATTCGACGATATTGTTGTTCAAGATGTGGATGAGTTTTGCGACCTTGTGATGGATGTCATGGGTGTGGCGAACGAGCTGATGCTCGATCGACTCTCCCAAGCCTGCCAACAAACCCTCGGCCGCTTCGGTAAGTAAATCATTCAACCCTCTGGACAGATAGTCAGCTAACAATACCAGTGAACACCCGAAACATCTGCAATTTGTTGAATGATGTGGCTCCTTGCGCTGTCTGCGAATTCAAAGAAGCTGGCCTTGAATATGTCTGCCTGCAGCTAGAGACTATGCTTGACAACCAGTATGTTTTCACGATGTGCATATATGGAGAAATACTAATGTCCATTAGGTTACTCAATGATCTTGACGATGATCTACTTGCTGAATTGGACGAGGTCGTTCGAGAAAACCAGTTGGCATGTTTGCCATTTGCTAAAAGCGGCCGAGCAGAATTGCTCCTGCATGAGCGCCACCCCAGCCTGGTGGGCGAGCTTGACGAGGACAGACAGCGAAAGCTACGAGATATGGCTTTTAGAACCTCCCTCAGAGATGAAGAGGGAAGGTTGTCAAGTTCGTTCAAGACCCGACTTAGTGGCTTTGGATTTGACGGCGCTTCCTCACCGCCACCTTCAAGTATGACCCCAAAGCCACAGAACACACCTCATCATACAGCAGCTACCAGCCCATGTATTCGACCTAAGGATTCGATCGCCGATCTAATGTTTGATATGGAAGATGATGAATCTTCGCCACTTGGTCCTTCATCTCCTTCCCTACAACCCCTTGGACCAACATCCACTCCACTGGGCGGCTTGAACAAAGCGCTCCCACCTCCTGCCTTCAAGAACAAAGGTAAGAAGTCGATATTTGCGCGCGACTCTTCGACCCTAAATTCGCCTGACGAACCAGCAACTCCTCCCACAGGATCTCCAGGCGCCAATCCTAAGACATGGGTTTCTCCGGGATTGCCGTCGACAAAACTGAACATGCGGGAGATCATGTCTCAAGCGTCCTCAAATCAGACGTCCTCATTGTCCTTGGGCATATCCGCCCAAAGGGAGAAAGACGAGGCAGCATCAAGAGCTGCAGCCCCCAAGCTCTCCCAGAAGGAGCGCAAGAAGCAACAGCAACAAGCAGCGTTGGAGCAAGAACAATTGAGTAAGAAGCCCAGCCGCAATGAAAACCCTTCCGGGCCCTGGCAGGTAGCGGCTGCAGGACCTCGAATCAACCTGAGCGACATTATCGGTGGAGACTCGGGTACTTCTCCATCTGGGGCATCTAGTCTCAAGGTTCCAACACCAAGCCCGCGCCCACGTGCAGCTTCTCCGGATACACGGTTTTCGGGCCAACGTGGCAAGTCGGACATGTCACCACAGAGCTACAAATCGCAAAGTCGCGGACCTGCAACACCGCAACCGATGAAGTCGTCGCCGCTAGCCACGAACCGAGAGCTATTTCCTGCGCTTGGTAGTCCGCGCGCAGAGCCAACGCTGCAGTTGTCTATGGCTGATATTATCGGGCAGCAGAAGCGAGAACAGGACCTGGTCAAAGAGGCGGTCGCGAAGAGGAGTCTGCAGGAGATTCAAGAGGAGCAGGCGTTTCAGGAGTGGTGGGATAAGGAAAGCCGCAGGGCGCAGGAGGAAGAGACGGCGAGGAGCGAACCTACGCAATCTATACCGAAGAAGGGCAGCAGTTTTAGAGGGAGAGGGAAGAGGGGAAGTGGTGGTGGTGGAGGAGGTAGAGGGGCGAGTAATATGGTTCAAGGCGAGAGCCGGAAAGGAAAAGATTCGGGCGAGGCTTCCCAGGGAAGGGCGGGTAATAAGGACAAAAGGCAGGCGTAAGGCGTTATGGTATAAAAAGGCATGCCAACGGACGTTTACGGGGCTGATTTGGGAGTATCCCCGAGTACCCCTGACGGGACGGGAAGGAAAGGCTAGATCCCGCCGCTATGTAGAGATAAAGTTTTGCAGGGTAATATATTGTAATACATACCAGCTGCAACTATCTATATGTTGCACGAGATTCCCTTTATCCACGTTCCTTTGCCCTGCCCTGCCCTGCCCTGCCTTGTGTTGCCTGGAGTCCAGAATGTGGCCTAGCATGTGTCTGCCGAAGTCTAGCTCTTCTTGGCCTAGACTTATTTACGATAAGGCAATGTCTAATCTCTACGGTGTGCTGTAGACGCACAGACAGACGCTTGTGTCCCCTATAGTCCGCCGTACAACTCTTTAATTAACTTACAGTATTCACCATCCATAGACGACTTCACCTTATTTACTTGTCCATATTGCATTGAAAATATCCCTTTGTTGAACTCTATATCCCCTATCCTCGCCATCTCCTGCTATTCTTCCCATTGTTTATCACCCCATATCCCTATCTATCTCTCTATCATAGCCGCCTCAAAGCTACCCACCCACCCGGGAAGGCGCGAGATAGCGTTTGGATCACGAGAGCTACCTTGCAGGTTACGGCATGACCATCTAACCATCATCAACCACGGGCCGCGTTCCTCTCCCCTTGAAATCGCCAACCATCGGCCTATAACACGTACAACGCAGGACCAACCAACCTGCAGGACCACCTCGCCGACGACTCGCGAATCCGCATTCCCACCTCCGCCGACTCTTTGACCGCAGCCCATGCTGTCTGCCTAGCTCCTTCCCTGGCCGCCTCAAAGCACCACCACCCACATTCCGCATACCTGTCCCTCACCAGCCACAGCAACCACCTAGAACGATCCAGAGCACCAGAGCATTAACTACCGCCGCCTCGCTCGAATCAACGCCAGACAGATATATTCCTGCGAGCGGCACTGTGACAATGGAAGCTCTAGGGCAACTCCACCATATCGCTCGACTCCATCACAACTGAACACACCTGAACCTGCGCGGTTGACTGACCAGCAGCTGGGATCCCCATCGCCGCCACCACCACCCCAGCAGCAGCCTGCGATAGAACTCCTGCCCCTCCGAACAGCAGTCTACAATAATGCATCAACACCCGCGGCCCCCGCCGAATGGGGCTTCTCCAGCCTCGTCGCCGTCGACGAATCCCTATCGCACGAATAATCCGAGGGAAGGAGCGCAGAGTGGCCGTAGCCGGTTCGGCTCTGATGCGCCGCAGTATAGCGAGAATGAGTCCAGTGGGATTCGCGGGGAGAATGTTGTGGCTTCCTCTGGGCCGAGTGCGGAGGCAAGGCGGAAGCTGGATCAGATTGTGCAGGTGAGTTTGCCGTTTGAGGGTGTCTTGCGTTTGTGTGTGCGGTTGCTGATGACGGCTAGAACTTCCATACCAAAGCGGCGACTGTGGTATTGCAGTCGAGAATGTCGTTTCCGACTATTCGAACAAAGGATCAGACGACGAAGGTTAATAAATGGGTGAGTTCACACGGAGCGGAGGTAGCGGTGTGTGGTTCGATATTCGAGTCTAACTTGCCTGCAGTTCCAATTAGAGACCGATGATACAGATGCATTTCGCGAGGACTTACGACTATGGAAGACGTGTGGGGGGTTTGAGAATCGCCCTCCACCGTTGATCCTTGAAACATATCTTGACATGTCCGACCTGTCAAACAAACAAAGCCTGGTCATTGTGGATGACAACGGCAAGCATTGGGATGTCGCGGAAGCTCTCAATGGGGCTCAGGGCTCAAAACACGGTGACTCACGCCACAGGAAACGGCATACAGAAGTTATCCTGGAACGTTGGAAGATAGAGTTGAAGGAAGGCTCGACGGACGAAACATACGACTATGGAGCCATACTGCCGACGATATACAAGAAGGCGATAGTCTTCTTTCGCACCCTGTATGCAACCGCCCGCTTCACTCCCGTGTCGAAGTTTGTGAAAGGCATCGGCAAGGTCCCCTCGTCAAGAGGCGGGCTGAGAATCAATTGCCGGATTATCAACGGCGAATCATTTGTTCCAGCTCACCATGACCCACTCACAATCCCTCTATTCCAGGGGGATGGCGAGACAACGACGCGATTTAACCTAGGCGAGACAGAAAGCCCTGCTGGACCGTTCTCTGCTGAGGTCTGTTATCGCAACGATTGTAACTTCCGTGCAGCAGACTCCGAAGCTCTACTCAGTGAAAGGTTTATGGGTGCTGAGGACTTCTTTCAACCAACATTAGCATCAAGACGGGAAGATCGCAAGAGAGATACAAGGGCGACAGAGGTTGGCTCATTACCTGTCAATCGACGGTTTTCTGTGGACGTGGAACCGACGCAGACGTACGGGAGCTTGTCTACCTTTCACGGCGAGGGGCCAACGCTTGCTGCAAGTCCGATCTCTGCATTGCGGGCTGCTAGGAATATGGGGTCAGAGACTAACTCGCCGCCTGCTGGGTCATCCTATGCGAGATATGCTCAACCTTCGAGGCCAACATTAAGGGCAAATGAGAGTATTGCCGGCGCGAGAAGACCATCTGTGTCATTTAATCCATTTAAAGCAGGTTCGCTCTCTAGATCTCCTTTGACTGGCACGTCTTCTCCACAACAAGGGGAGATGCTGCCCCCTGGGTCTTCACAATCCGTACCTCGTACTGTTGGTATGGGCGCATTATCACAGGCGCGGAATAGATCGTCCCTCACAGCGGGAATGCCTGCGTCTCTGCGTGGCATACCGGTTCAACAAGATAACACTATCTCGCCATCAAGCTCACCAAAGACAGTGACTATTAACCGATATAGCAGTAGCTTTAGCCATCGCCGCGGCAGGTTATCGTACGGCGGGACCAGCAGGGCAGAGGATGACCAAGGGAGTAGTGGCAAGCAGAGCCTCTCATCATCGGCACAACCTGGATCTGGAATACTCGCAGAGGCCATTGCTGGCAGTTCAGGGTCGTTGCAGACTGATGATGATAACATCTCGGATTTTCTCAACGTCCTTGAAAGCAATAAGAATTTACCGAGCTTCCAACAAAGTGGCAATGAAGCTGCCACAAGGCGAACGGCGTCACAGTTAACGAGGTTTCAATCTATGAGAGAGTCTCACAACATCCTCACAGAATCTTTGACCTCATCGATGCTCCTGCACCGCTCGTCATCCTCGTCTAGCCGACAACTATCAAGCGTCCCGCCGATGGTTACAGCAACATCTATCTCGACATCGTCGTCGCCTGGCAAACCAATTTCGCCACACACCCCACATACACCCGCGATTCCCTCGCGCTTAAGCGCCAACTCCATTGCTGAGTACTCACAACCCCGTCGTGAGCGCACGCGCAGCACAACCGAAGAAGACCGCATCGACGATGTTTCCGGCGACGAGGACGACAATGGCCCTGGCACCACTGCGATTGACATTCCTCTCTCACCCAGACCACGCCAGTATCCTGGCCGTCGCTCCAGCTCAGTAACCCAGGAGCACCGCACTCTCGCTGTTGATGATGACGAAAACGATCTCCCCTTCCACCGCAGCATCAGTCTCGGTGCCGATGACCGCGAGCCTCCCAGCCTCAGCGACCTTCGCGGCCTCGGTCAGCTCCCAGGCACTGTGCCAGAGGAGACACGCGACCGCTCCTCCCAGCCCCCACCGGGTATCGGGAGCGCGGCTATGGACGGGCCACTATCATGTCTTGATAGCGACTCGCCCCCTGTCCCACGCTCCTCAGCGCCGGGATCACAACAACGCCCCGCGCGACGACCCAAGGTTGATCGCAGCTCACTTTCGGCACAGACGGGGTCGTCGTCTAGCGGCGTGGTGGACACCAGGCGCGCAGGCAGCGTAGAGCGTGAGCGCACTAATCGGTATAGCTTCTCGCGCCCGCTTGGGCCGCCGTTTGATGATGACGAGTACCCACTGCTGTTCGACATGAGCGAGATCGGGAGGAACTCGGAGCAGTCGCGGCGTAGTCTTGAGGACGGCCGTGAGGGAACGGGTGGGGGAAGCGAGAGAGATTCGGGTGGTGGTAGTCGCAGGGGGAGCCACCGGGGGTGGTGAGTGAACACACTGACTGGGTGTGAGATATACGTTTTTTGACGGGTAAAAAAGGTTGGAGGTTATTTGCAGTACTCCATTTGACGCGCCAGCCGTTCTGGATCAGAGTCTGAAGGGCACGTTCGGTCCCCCCCGCGAGGGTGGAGATCGATCTGGGGCGCTTCGTTTCTACGATTTTTTTTTGGCAGGCATTGGTTGTACTTTTGTTTTTATTTTTGGCTTTGGTCTCGGTATTGGGAGAAGGGGCTACACCGCAGGGGTGGGTAGATATGGGAATCTGCTCTGGTGTTATGCTCTTAATTTGTGGATTCCGCTTCTCGCGGCAGTTTGAGCGGGTGAAGTGGAGGGGGTGGTTGGGTTTGTGGTTTGGTTTGGTTTGGTTGGTTTTTTTGGCGGGGAGTCTTTAGGGGAGGGGGATCGTATGCGATGGGATGGATGTTTCTTGGGGTTGGGTGGGGTGGGGAGTTAGATTATATGTGGAAAGAGTAGATTGTTGGTTAAAAATATATATATTTCCCACATATAACTTAGCGATGATACTGAACCTTGTGCATGGCGGGCCTTGGAATGCCTGGTTTTTGTTCATCTATGGTACCTTTTGTCTATAAGACTCTCTGCTCCTTTTCATGGAGTTACTTCGTGTAAGAATGTGATGGGAGACTTGGGTTGGTAATTTAATTTAAATATAAATTTGAATTCTATGTTATAACATACATGTATAGCGAATGTGCCAAAGAGGGCAGATACCGCTACAACCACCTATGCTATAAAGAAGCTCTATGGCACACAGCAATTCAAGGACCTCATATCTGCTCTAAACAAGACAAACAAGTCTAGGCAAAGAAGGACGAAGTGAGACTAAAACGGTAAGACTCTCTACCTTCCTTATAGTAATAATTATAGTAACCAAGAAACAGTGTTAGAGATGGAGTCCATGCGAGTATTGTCGAGCAGAACCTTGGGATTAGAGCAGGCGGTAGGGCATATGCACATTGGGACGATAACAACATGGCTTAGGAAACTGAGTGGGAAGAAGATGATGTTATTCAAGAAGCGATGTGGAGGGAAGACGAGAAGGCCAGTGGTTATAGGAAGGCAGACCTTAAGAACACCTAGTTGAAGCTTGAGGGACAGGCCGATGATACAACCAAGGTACAATTAGCAACACTATTACAAGACTAATACTAATATAGATATAGAAATTTGAAGGCCTTGGATTCTCTATTTAGCGCCGCAAGTGGAGAGCAGCATATAAGTCAAC